GCGTTTTTTGGTGGTCCTGCTGATCGGAATCCTGGGCTTCCTCACGCTGCTCGTCGTCATGTCCAAGCTCGGCAGGGCGTCCGTGGAAAACGACCCTAACTGGGACCTGATGCAGAACCCCCACGTGCAAGTGGGGGCTGAGTAGTGAGGGCTCGGGTGGGGTGGGGGTTGGGGGGGGAACGGTGCGGTTGGTGGTGGGGTGTAGGTGTAGGGACGGGGCAGAGCGGCGGCTTGGGCGTGGAGGGGAGAGGGACTCCCTGTCATTCCATATCTCCCCTCCCCCTGTGGCCGGAATCCGTTGGTTGGGAATTCCAGGCTGGTAGTGTATCCAGGTCGATGGGGCCTTATGCCTCAGGACCCAAACCCCCCCACCAACCCGCTGCCCGTCTTCGAACACCCCGCCCAACCCTCCTGAGGCGCCTCGGCCTTTCATTTCGCTGAGTCAAAGCTCCTCCCTCGGGCGTCCTCCCTGCTCCCCTCCGTCTCGCTTCTCGGGATAACCACACCTCCCCTACCATCCCCCTTCCCCCCCCCCCCACCCTCTCCCTTCCTCCCCCCGCGTGACTGGAGCCCTCTCCACACCTGCGACAGGGAATGTCATCTCAAACCCTTTTCCCCAAAACCCCAACCCCTCCTCCGATACCTTTTGTCGTGGGATCATGCTGTGCAGAAATCATTGAATTCCCACTGGGCCCCTCCAGGCTCGACATGTCTGCCACTGATTTGGTGATTCCGTATCCCCTATGCCCCCCAACCCAACCCCCCACCTCACCCGACATGGGAAAACGCTGCTGCGGGGTCAGACGGCACGGCGAGGCCTCCCGTTGAGGAATAGCCCGAGGAGGGGGTTTTTCTTTTCGGGGTAGCTAGAAAGTTTCTCCCCGCAATGGGACGCGGGCCGGGTGTCGACGGGGTTGGGGTGGGGGCTTTTTGGATAGCAAGAATAAGGCACTTTATTGACATTGCGTTTAAATACCCCTTCTGGGGGCTGAACTGCTGCACCGAGGTGGGTCTGGCCGACACTGCGCCCACCGGCCTCCTGGGCGAGAGGAGCGGCAGTTACGTGTAGGTGACTGTGGAGGGGGAGGGGGGCTGGCAGAGCCCATATCAATGCCATGGGCCTCCTTCCCACAACCCCCTCCCTCCCTCCGGTGTTCCTGTTGCTCAGGCGCGTTAGTACACCTCCTCTCTGAACTTGATGATTTCCAGCTCGAACCAGGTTCTTCCGAGAAAGACCCAGAAATTCAGAACTGGAGAGTAAGGAAAAAGCAAGG